CTACCCTATATCTCTCACAGACCATGAGAGAAACAAATTTACCAAACATATGAATTAGTAGGCGGTTTCCCGGCAAATTTTGTATCATCCTGTATTAGTCAAAACATATTCTTTCACATGATTGGTAATGAGAGCTTCCATTTCATTTTTTGAAATTGGGGCGTTTCCAATACTGGTCTTTACCTTTAAGCTTGTTTGAAAATGCATTTGGGGCTGTGTTTGGCATGTCCTAAAAAGGATGTCCGGTTGATATGGAGTAGCTACAAATTGATTTGTGAGCTTTCTTATTCTGTGCATGTCAGTTTAGGAGAACATCAGAGTAGAAACGTCTCTTGTAAAGGATTGACCTCCAAACTCGCAAAATGCTCCATATTCTACGGGTGACAAGCAACAGGTGAAAATTGTGGTCCAAAATTTCATGTCACTTGTAAATGCAGTCCCATATACATATTTCTGTGTGCGGTTTATATAATTTCCAACATGATTGAGTCAATTTAGTTTCGTTTTGATCATTCTATATAAACTCAGAGTATACGTACATCATGGTTTATATGACAAAACTTTCCCAAATGCTACCAAACAGTTCCTCCACAATTAACTCAACTTTATAAAGATACATGTAAGAAGTGGTGAATCTTGTTCCGATGGCCATTTGCTTTTATCGTTGATATGTAAAGGACAAAGCTCTCCATCCATTAAAGTAATGTGTATAACCTAAATTTGTATTTTTATACTTGACCATCACGAGATTCCTTTCGATATCATAGTAAAATCTTAATGGACGTCCCGCCAAGACATCTACTAGAAACGTTACTAGGAAGATACAAAGCTTGTTTCTATGGTCATTTACCTCCCGTTTGGACAGAGTAAAGAGCAGCACTCTCCATCTAAAACTAAAAATGTGTATAACCTAGATTTGTATTTTTATTCTTGACATCAGGAGATTATTCAGCTATCATAATAAACGACTTCAGATAATGAAGATCGGTGTCTTGTTCGTATGGTCGTTTTCTTCCCGTTGTGACAGAGAAAAGGGCAACAATTTCCTTCTAAATTTAATTATTCTCCCTCGAAAAGGATGTTACATAGAGGCCCCGTGTAGAGGAGAGTCACCACCATTGCATGTTAAGAACCCACTGCACTATTCGTATAGTTAGGAAGGAATCCCCGGTGTAATGGTCCACCTGCACACCCCCAATTAGTTATTCCGGGAGGAGAGACCCGAGGGTTACAGTGATTCAATTCGCTTTTCGCCTCCCAGTCTCAGGTGACTCTAAATGCATAATACTAATGATAATGATAATAATAATGATAATAAACATTTGTATAATCCTAAATTGTATTTGTATACTTGACTATTACGAGGTTCTTCAGCTATCAAAGTCAAATTTTTAATGGACGTCCCTCCACGACATCTACATGTACTACCAAGAATCATGACCGAACCATTTTTTGTTTGTCTCCAGAGCGAGACCATTGCCGTAGCCAGAAGGGATGTACATATAATTACCTCATCACTTCTTTAACACTTGGATTTCAAAAATGTCCCAAAGGAACTTTTGTTTGATAGTAGAATCTCTGTCTTTAACATTTTTGTGATTGCTTGTATTTTGTTTTCTTTCTCTCTCGGTATTTTTTTGTTCCGTTGTTGTTGTTTATTTATTCATTTATTTCATTTAATATTGAATTTGTCGGAGGCGAACACTCCCCCATCCATCCCTTTCCTTCTTTTTTTTCGACGACCATAGGCATGTTTATCTAAAAACAATATCATCACCATTGCGTTTTTATAATCGTGTCAAAATATATATTGCAGTCTATAAAATCAACATTCTAAAAGTGGTTATGTGCGATGCATTCCATTCTCAGTAGAGTATGTCATTTCCATGTAATTGCACGATAAACTGCCAATTCATTAGTAATCTTGAACATTCAGTGCAAATCTCGTTGGATTATGTGCGAATTCATTTTCTTTCATTTTCTATAATTACCCGAACTCAAGCGTATACGAGTGAAGGGGGGGGGGGAGGGATGGGGGGGCTACGTCATATTATCTTTGCATTTCCTTCCACATCATCCCTGTCGCAGTCCCTTTTCTCTCTGACACGTATACATCTGCCATACATCAAAACGCGAACAGTAGGCCTGCCTTAGATTATATTATACAAAATGCAACATCACAACATCTCAGTGTTCCAGAATCAGACAATCTTTAATAGCATTCGATCACTTTGAAATCCAATAAATGTATTGCGTGAATAATAACATTATCAGCATCAACTATAACTATATTTTCCTTTACTAGGTAATAGTACAAATGTCATACAATGTAAGAGTTATGATTTTTAACATATACATAAAAGCGATATTTCGTAGTAAACTTTGATTGCGGTTACATTTCCATGGACACACTGAAATGGAATTTAATAAGTTGGTAAAGAAACGATATACATGTATTTACAGTTACAAATTGAAAGTATAATTCTGTCTTAATCATTATTATACACATAATATCATATACTATACATTTTATTCTCCTATTCATTTTTTAAACACAATACATGAATAAACGTTGACGCATGTTTACAACTAAACCCACGATGTGTAATTATATTGCAAAAAATAATAATATAAAAACTCGGAATTTGACAATATTATTTTTAAACAGGAAAAATCCTACCCGCAATGAAGAATTGAAATTATGTCATACACGTTGAGATTGAGAGAGATGAAAAGGTACAATAATTTAAATGTAAGAGAAGTCTTACAAAGAAAGAAGAGAATGAGGAGCGATGAGGAGTGGGAAAATGACATTGTAACAGGCAGATTAATCGTGACTAATGGCATAATGAACATGCAGACAGAGAGAGAGAGAGAGTGAAAAAGAGAGAGGGAGAGAGAGGGAAAGAGAGAGAGAGAGAGAGAAAGAGAGAGGGAGAGAGAGGGAAAGAGAGAGAGAGAGAGAGAGAGAGAGGATAAGAGAGGAAGAGGAGACCTCGAGATGTATTTTATTTGCCAAGATTCAGATTTGATACTGATACAACGCAATCATAAAACAATCTTGTTTAAATATTTACAAAACATGAAGACTTAACACTGCATGCAAAAGGATATATGATGACGTAATCAACTCTGCATTTTTGAAGGCAAAACTTGTTTTTCCTGCGACATCTAACAGAATACATTTAACCAAAACCAATACGAGATATAATATGGAAAGTATTCTTTACAACAACAGCAAATGTGAGTAACCTATGAAAATGAAATTAGATTTACAAAATACATTTTACAAAGTACATTTTACAAAGTACTTCTTAGTGAGATGTCTTGACAAAGTTTACCAATCAAAAAAGTACAATTCAACTTTTTATTGGCAACACTCGCCTGTTTCATTTTGAAATATTCATTTCGAGCCCCGCTTTGTTTCATTCATATGTCATCTTTGGATAGATACCATACATAAATCGCTAAGTTTCTACTATTTATTATCTAACATTTTTATCTCAGTGCTGCTGCTAGATAAGAACTGTAATATTGAGGGGACCTCAGACTTTCCGTCCAATCCGAAGAGCATTCTCTCCCGTGACCTGCTTTCGATCCCCGGACATTGCGTTTTCTTATAGTGCATTATGTTAAAGGGGCATGTTCCCCGTGTTGCAGAGGGCGTTCAAAATACGTACCCGCTGGCGGACGGTGCTAGCTGCCTATTGACACCAACAGAATACGGCCGTTACGCAGATGGCATGTTCCGAATGCCCGCACAATGCCGATTATCGCATACTTGTGCCGAAGTCATACCAATCGCAGTTCGGCTCTAAGATTCGGCTGCTGTTTCCACCCACTTTCGTGACGTCACTATCGGCAGCGATCAGCTGGCTTGGCGAAGGCAGGCCAGGCCGCGCGTACTTTGATTGACAGCTGTATGCAAATGAGAAGTCGATCTTCGGAACCAAGATGGCGATGACTAGAGCAGCGATAACTACACTGGCGGGAACATGCCCCTTTAAGTGAACTCTACTACTTCCCTAGTATGCATCAGCGTAAAACAATTTTAAATGAGTTTTTCACTTATCAACATCTTATATCCTTATTGTTAGCCTCTACAGACAAATAGTTACCTCCACTTGTGAATAAAATTTTCATTAGTTTCATCGCTATAAACATCAGCTTCCTAATGACCTTTACAACAAATTTCCACAGGCTTCTTAAAGGGGAAGTCCACCATGATTTTAATTTGGCTTTAAAGCTTATCTGCCGTAGTTTATAGGAGGGATTAGACTTCCCTGCAAGGTCACTGGACAGGTGGTTATCTCATCAACTCAGCTCTCAGTTAACATAAGAAAAAGAGGATCATGGGGGACCAATGGTCACCGATTAGTCATTGTTTGTTATATAGAGGGCGCAAGTAGCTACAAGTAGTGCAGTGGGCCTTTAATAGAAGCAGAACAAGTAGCTACATAATATAATAATAAGAGAGGGGAAATGGGAGAGGAGTTCGCAAGATACGTAACAGTGTTCCAAATTTGTGTTTCCCTGATGACAACTTCAAAAATGTATGACGATCCTATATTTAATCAGATATGGCTCAAACTTTCACTAATTTGTTTCTATCATTTTTCTGCTTTTTGATTAAAGAGAAAACTTCTATCATGGTCGACTTTCCCTTTAAACGTTTCAGACCATTCGAGCACCACGAGTGCAATGCGTCAGTTTGGAGCTAGAAAGACGTTAGAAAGTCATATACTTTGACGCAGAGATAACGCCCTTCTGTATCCAAACAGTTCCATTCGAAATCATATACAGAGGACACAATGCAATCATCCGCGGACATAACGTGCATAATATACTATCATGAATTACACAATATTTTGATTGTTATTACATTGTTGAATTTTGTCTCGGTCAATGCACTCGCACATGTAAATCGGAAGAGACCTACCCGTTTGTATTTGATATTCAATGCATCTTAGATTTTTTTTTATCATGAGCATAGAATAAGAAAGAGGAAACTATTAAAAGTACTGTACCTCTAAAACTATTTTACCTCCTTCATTTTGACCCCGGTATTCTAAATGTAGACCCAAACATTTTGCATTTTAATACTTTGCGAATGGCTTCTGGGGGGATTTTTGAAGAACTTTATGATAAAGTTTGCCCACATCACTAACCCTTTCAAATTGTTTCATGCTCGGCAAGTCTCGAAGATTGTTGAAGTAAAGACGAGTCTATATCTTTGTCGAGTGTAAGTGGACCACGTGCATTTCCCTTCAAATATATTCAGATGGATCTTTTAAACGGATGTCTGCCCTCTTCGGATAGCCGATGGTGATTCTCGGTCCTTTGACAATAACTGGAGAAAGAGATTGTGAGATGAGGTGTATATAAAACCCGTATATGATTGTAATGGTTACTTTTAATGAGTAAATGCATTAGATCAATGAGCTTGGCTTTATTTTTTCATATTAATAATTTTCTAAGATTTTTTCGGAATATATCAAATTTTACGGTTGTATACCTTAAAGAACTGCGAGTTGACGTAGCCCATATGATTATAACATGATATCCCTCCCATTATTCGTTAATTCAGTATGTGTATGTTTCAAGTAGACCCAACGGTAAGTTGAGAGTTCACAAAGTTGTGATATTGAGTGATTGTCCAAATCAATCATCAACATTCTAAATGATCTGTCTGAAAGAAAAAAACATAAAATGCAATTTACATTTCATTATCAAATCAAGGTTCACTTGTCTGTGGTTGCAATATTTCCTGACACAGACTCTTCGCTAAATGAATCATTTTAGTCAAAGTTATTGGACTTACCGCCTTCTCGCAGGCCATAGGGTTGACCTGTCTCATGATTGGATATGTTGGCATTCCTTTTTCCCCCGTCACAGACATACGAATCTTGGCTTTTAGAGCATTTGATAAAGAGATCTGAAATAAGAATATATATTTTGAGAGATTAAATGTATAATGTTCACAAACAAATGACTACAACAGAAAGTGAAAACATTTTTTCAATTTTGTTTAATCGTCTTTTAAAAAATGTTCATATCTTTTCTTTATTGACATGATACCCCAATTACCGTCACAGATATCCGTATCCTGGCTTTCAGATTATTTGATTAAGATATCTGAAAACGAAAATAATGTAGGAAAGTTGAAAGACTGAAGTGCTATTTCTATCCCACCGCAATTAAAATGTATTCGACAAATAAAGCCCTTCTATAAAGTGTTGGGAGCCCCGAATTTGCCAAAAATTTGATGGCAAAATTGTCACTTAAATTGTATCATAACGTAGAAAGAGATTGTTATTCAAGACACACTTAAATATAAAGATTTCGCCCCTAAAAATGTATTTGAAGACGAATATTGATAAAAGAATAGATAATTTTAGTTTTCTGTTGTATAAAGCACAAAACCTAAATTGTGTATTATTTTATCAATTTCCGACTTCATACACATTTGGTTTGAAAATCCTTGCAGAAATGTGTTTTAAATGGCATCCTCTTTCAAATTATAATACAATTTAAGTGAAATTTTGCCATCAAATTTTAGGGGCTCCCAACAATTCAGTTGGGCTTTAAGCTGAAGGTTAAAACGTGATTGCGGTCTCGAGTACCATTGTTATCCCACAGCAATTTTGTTTTAACAAGCAATCAGAGATTACGTGTTGGTATTGGGCCCTTGGGAATGACATCAATCAGAGTTGCATTTATATTGGGTGAGAGATGCAAGAGACATCATTTCTGTCCTTTCAAGGGGTCAATAATAATAATAGTGAGAATAATAATATGTCTTATTTACCCAGGGTAGCCTCAACACTCATCAGTATTAATACTCTTCTCCCTTAAGGCCCTGCGATCATATTATTACCCGGTTTTTAAAGGGACTCGGAAACATTGCCTCATGTTCGGTCTGAAACAAAATCCTGGATTTAGCTCATGCTGCAATCATAATTACTAACCTTTAGGTCAGTCAGGAATCCCATGACTTTTACAAGCCGATCGCCTTTCTAATTATCAAGATATTTATGATTGGAAATCGAAATTTCATTTTTCGTTTTCCTAACGGTTTTTATAACACTACAGTTCACTGGATAAAATTAATATGGTAAACCGGTCACCCAAAGATTTTTACTTTTTTGAGGCACTTCATGATCATTTTGCAGCGCAGGGGACAGAGAAAAAGGAAATGTTGAAAGGCACAAAACAGAGAAAAAGTACCCAAAGGAACCAAACTTGTAACATAACAGTTAAAATCACTGAAAAAAACAACTTTTAGTTTATTTGATTTTTTTTATTGAATCAGCAACTAAATCTCACCTTCTCCTTATTAGATTGAGCCCGGGTACGCCAGTAGAACTCGGTGAGAGCCACGCCCATCGCCACGCCCATTCCTACCACCAATATGTAGAATATACCGGCGACATTGCTGAGACTCAGAGCACTGGCTTGGTCCTACATTGAACGGAGAAGGGGAAATGGAACCTGTTAGCAGCTGTTAAAAAGCATTCAAGAAAAATGACTTGAAAATATTGCAAGAAATCGATTGTTCGGGCTTTTAGTTTCGTGGCCAAATCTTATAGTAAGCCAAGATGGAGGGGAGAGAAATCTGAAATTATCTTTTAAATCTTTAAATCTGTATATGTTCCATTGGGTTCAAATGCAATTTCGATTATAAACACAATTTTAAAAACGATCGTAATTATCAAACAGTAATTTGTTATTCACTTATGATCGAGAACGATCTGAAAGATAAGATGAACCTCTTAAATTGATTTTTTAATTATTATTTTTTCTTATTTTAGGGCTTGGGGAATTTTGTCAGTTCATACCAAAACACAAATCTATTATTGATTTTTTTTTTTAAATACATGCGATGAGTGCAAATCATCTGTAACATCACATTTAGGGTAGATGAGAAAAAAAAATTGTGAATTTGAAAATCTTACCATAGATTCCGACTGAGGCTCACACTCTCCCTTGTCATACCACCATTTCTTCTTCAGGTTATCAAGGACGCCATCTTCGCCAAGTTGCAGTATAGCCAGTGTCAATTCATCTCTGTAAAAAATGAGGCAATGCTAATTCAATTTTAAGCGAAGCTTCTATGGATACACACAAATTATAGCGTTAAGATTTGGATCACTTGCTGATGAAGGGGGGGGGGGGTCAACAACCGGCCTGCTACTCTCAAAGTTTCAAACCTACTTTGCATATCCTACATGTAAGTACACACAGATAAAATAAAGGCCTTTCCCATGTTCGACCCAAAAGGGCACCCGAAGATGTTTTGCTTGTTTGTTTTGTTTTGTATTATGTTGTTCTTCCTTCTTTTTCTCGTTTTTGTTGTTGTTTGTATTTTTTTTTTTTTTGTTGCTTGTTTGCTTGCTTGTCAAATAGTTTTTTCTGAATTTTCCCCATCCCCTTTCCACAAGATACTTGATCCATCCCTCCGTCGTGTACATGTAGTAGTCGGATCAGGTGTAATATCTGGAGGAGCAACTCCCTTTCCTAAATTTGATTATATCTAAGGGCGACTCCGTAACCGTATCTCTTTGAGTGTGCTTCCTTTTCAAGGTTCTTTTTAATTTTGTTCTGAGGGCATATGAAAATGTTTTTTCTCGCTTACTAGATATTTTCCGGAACTGTGCCCCCACCTTCCCCCATCCCGTCCCCGATACACACCGTTGATCCATGCACCCTTGAGTAGTTAGGGTGGATCAGGGGCCCGTTTCATAAAACTTGTTATCAATAACAAATGCTAAATTTCTATGACAAATTTGCTCTCAGCAAATCAGATTCCATGATTTCAGTAATTACAACAGTAGCTTGTAACTGTTATTGATATCAAGTTTTATGAAACATGGTCCAGGGACCCGTTTCACAAAGCCTTTTTTTCAATGACAAATGACAAAAATCAGTGATAAATCTGCTGATAACCAATCACAAGCAAGGATTTCAGTAGCTTATAACAAACACTGTCATTTTTCACGGACGACAAGTTCTGTGAACGCCCCCCCCCCTAACCCAAGTCAGCTTACCTCAACAACGTGAGATCTCGGGCGACCCCGATGCCGTAGCTCTTCGAGTCGAGATTCGATCCCACCTTCATGGTATCACATGGTTTCTGCTGGTTCGAGTATTCGTTCATCGTCGACTCCAGCAGGAAGGCGTACTTGCCGTTGGCATGGCGGACGCGCTCGATGCCCTGCGCGGACGAATTGGTGATCGGCGACGGCTGGGCCGAGCTCATCGACTTCCACATCGTCATATAAAGCGGGATCTTCGATGACTATCTCGCACCATGCGTGATCAAGAAAAGAAGAATGAAGGGGAAATACTTTTTTTTATTTAAAGATGTTTTTTTTATCTGGAGATTGCTGTTTAACACTACATAACGGGATTATTGTAATGGATTCCGAAACGAAGAAGGGTATTGATACTGTGGAGACAGTGAAATGAATAAAAAAAAAATTGCTTTCCCACATTGGCCTTTCATGCCTGATTAATTTATCACTTGATCAGCAAAAATGGTCAGTACCTACTTTGGTCAGGTCGAAAAGGGTTATTTTTTCATTTCAAACATCACAATACTTGTAAGTTACTACAGGTGTTTGCACACGCTGGAAGTTTCATGAGTTATGCAAAACCAGTTTTTGGTACCATTTGACATCCAACTTCAGCATAATCAGAATAACATGAAAGAGGCTGTTTTGGGGTTTGGAGGAAAGTATTATACTCACGATTTACAATCTTACAACCTGCTTTCAAGTAAATACAGATATATAATTTGATCTCATTTAAAATGTGATGAAGTGCTTAATATACAATGGTGTTATCCTGATTTCGTATCTAAATAAAGATTTATTTCAACAACAAAAACAACAAAATTATACTCACGGAAAAGAACACCTCGGTGGCCCCACCTCCTTGAATACCGTACGAGATGTCTTTACGTTTGACGAGATCTTCGGCCGAGTTGATCGGGGTGGACATTCTCTCGACCGTCAGGAAAGCAGCTAGGTTAGCTGTGTAGGATGATATGATGATGAGGGTGAAGAACCACCACACCCCACCGACGATTCGGCCTGAGAGACATCTAAGGATCGAAGAAATAAAGAATAGAGAGATAGGAGAATCAGAGATTAAAATGATAAGCCTGGACTAAATTCTAAAAAATATGTAGAAAATAATTATATGGACAAAGGAAAAAACTAAATCGAGTGTGACTGTCGACAAAAAAAGGAATACCAGGTCCTAATTCAGATCATTTGCAGAACTTCCTTCGTTGAAAAGACGCTAACATTAAGGAAAGATATGAAAGATAAAAACAGAGATGGACAACTATGTGTGGACAGACAAGACGTCAAGTTCCAGGACTAAGAGGGAAGAAGGTGGCCCCATGTAGTTGACATGACGGCAACGGGTGACTCAATAATTAGTGGAACATTTTTTGGCTCAGCAAAGCAGTAAATTTGCTATGTAAATGCACATTTGATGATGAAATACACTGCCTCCCCCTCCCCCTCCTGTTATTGACCCTTAATGGCGAAAACAACGTTGCATTATGCTTATTATAATAAGTTCAAAACCTGTGGGGTGTTTCACAAAGACTAAGATCGACTTTAAGTTGGACTTTACTATGGCAAGCCGTTCATGCCACTGTTTGCTCTCACCATTTACTGGCATATGTTTCTTAAGAGACGTACAAAGCATGGCCACACATCTACATAATTTACATTTTTGATAATGTATTGTTGAAGGAAAAATATTGTCTACAGATAATAATGGTGAGAGCAAACAGTGGCATGAATAACCTGCCATAGTTAAGTCCAACTTAAAGTCGATCTTAGTCTTTGTGAAACACTCCCCTGATCTATTACCACCTATCAGCAAAATGTCACAAATTATTAATTCATCTTTTGCAACAGAATAATATAGAGAATTCTCCGCCACGATTCTGTACCTTGGAGACACTTCACAGCCCTGCTGCATGAGGGCACCCATCGAGAACCAGAGGCTGTTCTGAATCCCGAAGTTGTTCGCTTTCTTGTCTCTCGGTTCCACACGATCAATCTCACCTTCCGTAGAGGGCGCACTAGATAAAGTTCCTGCAGAAAAATAGAAACGGTGTCAATTCTGTGATTTTTTTTTTAATACGAAGAGTAAATTTTCCAAGAGATGCTATGAATCCAAATACCTTACAGCACAACAAAGATGAGGATATATTACCTATGCAAATCAAGTTTCTCATGCATCCACACTATCAAAAAAAGGCACATCTAGAGTGTCTTAATTAAAAAGACGGAAATTCCATGAGCATTGCTAACAGCTAAATGCATATTGACGAATTCTTTTCAGCCGATACAATATGACTCGATTATAGGCGAAAAATCGCCATGCTATGTGCGAGATCAGAACGTATAATTATTTCAGTCATCTTTTTTTGCATTTTCGATTAGTATGTTTCGTATTTCCGACATATCCAGGCTGTATAAAGATGCCTTCGGGTACAGGGAAGCTAGTGAATAAGCTAAGAAGTGTCACCCGTCCTTACCCTGTTCTACGGTGTACCATTCATCCGGACTGAACCGACTGACCAGGAACAGCACCACGCTGACTCCAAGGTAGGCGAAGATGATGGACAGCCATATCTCGTACGACAGAGGATGCATGAAGGAGAAGACGCTGGGTCGGGTGTTCTGAGGTTTCTTGATCATGATGCTGACCCCAAGACTCATGTAGGGCTTGGTGAAGTCGATGACGCGCTCGCGTTCGGAGTTGATCGTCAGCGGGGCGACGGCGATGTCGGCCTCCTAGATGGATGTTGATTGTAGGGGAAAGAGGACAAAATAATGACAGAGCTGTAAGTCTTAAATAATAATTGTCCTTGCTTATATAGCGCCTAACACTGTCTTTATCAGAAGTCTCTAAGCGCTCTACAATAATGCAGCATAATTACCCTGGCTTTAGCAGTGCAGCTGTTACGCGCGCTGCGTTTCAAGGAATAAATTCCTACCAGGTACCCATTTACTTCACCTGGGTGGAGTGTGGCAAATGTAGATCAATGTCTTGCCAAAGGACATTAGTGCGGCGGCGGGACTCAAACTGCACTATTTGAAGCGGGACTGCACTACTTGTAGCTACTTATGCCCTCGATATAGCAAACAATCCCTAAGCGGTACCCGTTGGTCCTCCATGATCCCCTTTTCTTATGTTAATTGAGAGCTGATTTGATGAGATAACCACCTGTCATTGACTAGCAGGGAGGTATAATCCCTCCTGGCCAACCTAGTGCAGACGGGCTTTAAATACTAAACTTTGCAGTAACATGTTCCTTTTCATTATAGCTATCATCTTCATCAGGGTAACACCAGTCGATGAAGTCTTCCAAAATACCTCATGAACTTTGGTAACGTGAACGCTTGGTGGGAGAGTTGTGGTCTCCTTACCGATTTGTCAGTGCCATTTAACACGTTTGATAAAATATGAATTCACCGATCGAGTCCCCCGGACAAGACCCAATGCAGTATTAAAGTCCCTGTCGTTGCCTACATATACAACCATATCAAGCATATTTTCTTACCAATACGTTTATTAAATAACAACTTTCCAAGTTCTTGTAATTAGCACATAATGTAGTGAAGAAAGAGCGTCATGCATTGGCTTGATCCTGCGATCATGGTCATTCACCGCTTTGCCTTACGGTGCACATTACATAGCCAAGGATCAAATGAATAATTTGATGTGGTGGTGGTGGTTATTTTACCTGACTGCTAATAAAGAATAAATGCTTGTAAGTAAGCAACCAGACGGCCAACGGCTCTAGGTCCTCTTCGAGGGACCTGGTAATGAGGATTAATACCTTACCAAAGGGCAATAGCGCATCGACTTGGTTTCGAACCCGGGTAACCGGATTACGAGACCACTGTTCTACCGACTGAGCTATCGCACCTCCCTTACCTTTGAACTGTTATTTTCGGCACCTTATCATATCAACACGGTAACAGATATTTTTTGTAGAACCCGACTTACCTTATTAATCAACTCACTGACCATGCCGTCCCAAGTCCCGTTCTCATTGGCCGAGCCGTACGCGCTGTCGTTCCTCACTCGGATGACGAACCTGAATGGATGATGGTCATTGATAGCCTTCAGGAGGTCCATACAGTACCCCTCGTACATGCCGTTTCCAGGGGTTCGATCCTTCTCATTCTTCAGCATCATGAACGGTCGCTCCTGTGTCAAGGTCAAGAGTGAAGTAGCTCTTTGATCAGCCCAGAATCACCAAGATATTATTCTAGCAATCTCTCCAAAGCACACCCCCCCCCCCCTGGTCCAACTTGCTGCAAGCCGAAGATTCCATGATCTCGACGAGAACGACGAAAACCGTACGAATTTGAGAGTAGTCCAGATTCGGTCCGTTTGTATGATACTTTTTATTATTCAATAATCTAAACGTCCTTCTCACTTACACGCATACTACACAGATCGCGCGACCCACGAAAATACACCCGTCAAAAAGAATGACAGTCAAGGACTGTCGCGGGTTATTTTCTCGGCTGATTTGGCGCTCAACACTTAAACAGTCTAGGCAGTGAACTACAGGTTGGGTGGCTTAATTAAAAATCAAATCGGCCAGATTCTGGAATGCTCTTGAACTTAGGAGCCCTCAGCCAATATATTGATATTTAGGCCTTTGAGAGAAATTGTGATTGACCTACATCTACCCGTTCGTGACAGGATGGAGACGTTGGGTTCTTATAGGTAATATTATCAAGATCCAAAAGACTTTCTAGATATCGTGTTCGGAATATGTAATACGTTATTATAATTATTCGCACATTTAATAAGCAGTGGTCAAGGCCACTGATTTTTGTCAAGTCTCTGCGATCATGTTTATTTAACCTTTTGGCACATTCGCAAAATAGTTGAGATATTTTGCTACGAACGTATGGAAAAGGATCAAAAGTTTGGGAAATAATTATCTTCTGCTGAGAGATTGAAGAGCGTTAACGAAAAACTGTTACGATTTACAAAACAACGCCGAACTTGCTCTCGGCAGAGGATTTATTCTTCAAACATGGAAAATTTAATCCATTTTGGTCCTCTTGATAGATAACTCATCTGGTTATGGTCTATGATCTTGAACAAAGTATTATCAAACCGAAGCGATACAAAATTAAATACAGCCTGCATAGTACTCTGACTTAATATTCGTACAATATGCATTCGTGGAAAGAATCAACTCACGAAAAGCGATGTAATGATGAAAGTCTTGTTGATGTCCTGTAAGAAGTTTTGTTTATCTTCTCCTTTGATAGTAAGACGAGGGTTCGCATTCGGAAGCCAGGTTCCGACCTAAGGAATGGAATACACAATGATTGTAAAGATCAATATTTTATATTAAAACTTCCTGTTAAATGATCATCTACATGCAGTAGTGAGGTGCACTACAAAGATGAACAAATAATGAAGACAAAACTACATTTATTTTTAATTGTTCCATAGTTTTATATCAATGTCATGACTTGTATTTCTCTCCTCGTGTCTTATCATTTTTCTAAAAGTCTATGTTCGTAATAATATTGATAATGCTACTAGACTGAGATGGTAATTAAAAAGTATGAATGTACTACTACTATTACTACTACTACTACTACTACTACTACTACTACTACTACTACTACTGCTGCTGCTGCTGCTGCTGCTGCTGCTGCTGCTGCTGCTGCTGCTACTACTACTACTATACTACTACTACTACTACTACTACTACTACTACTACTACTACTACTACTACTACTACTACTAATACTATAACTATTACTTCTACTCCTACTTCTTCTTCTTCTTATCTTATGTGTATGTAGGTCCAATAAATGTGCTGCATATTTTAATGCTCCTCCCACCTATTATAATAATGTTCACAGACTTTCAAATGAAACTCTTACAAAACAAATACAACTAATGTCCTGTTTCCTCTTTTGTCTACATTAACATATAGGTTTAGTTTTTCCTTTGTCTCTGCATACCATGTTCTATACACACAAATATAGAAAAAGCATGCGGAAAATAAAAAAATATTGTTACATACCTCTTGCAATCCTGAAGGTTTAAGTCCCAGAACTCGGAGTGTGTAATTTGCTCTTTCTCCGTTCTCGTCAAACTCAATGTTTCCTGTCGCACTCTTGAGCGACAACTAGATTTTGTGTGTTAATTGAAGAAAAAAACGAAATGTGAAATACATCATACATGCATGGCATTTACAGAAGACAATTCGAGAGAAATATAAAGTTTATCTGTGCTCGTTAAAAGACATACATTCAACCCCATTCCCCCTCTCCCATAATACATCTTTAAAAAAATATTAACAAATAAAACTCTATGGAATAAAAAAATTCATGAATGAAGTCGTTTCATTAAATGAATAAATTGTAGCTACAGATGAGATCTGGTAAATGCGATTGTATTGTGAAAGAAACTGTTCGGAAATAACTGGAAAATGTTGATTATGAAGCACATACTGTAAGTAGTCATCCAAACTAACATTCACATAATCGGGAAGCTATACATTTTTTGTTTGGTCTTTACTAGAACTCGTCCTTATCTTAAAATCGTTATTTCTCTCTTCCCTCCTGGGGCCAGTTTCATTAAACTTTTTATCTATAACAAATGCTAAATTTTTATGACAAAATTTGTTCTCAGCCAATCACATGCCATGATTTCAGTAGCTTATAACAGTAGTTTGTAACTTGTTAAATTGATATCAAGTTTGATGAAACGGGGCCCTGGTTTACCATTTTGATATACTCCAACACGTCTTTGTCCTGCGGTATCTTTTTGAAGCCCGGGTTCGAGCATGATCTCGCTCCCCTGACCGTTAGGATTGGTAGTCGTTTGTTCTTCTTCAGCATGCTGATCGTTTCCCAGAAGACACGGGTGACGTCGTACGTCAAAGCCGACATCGTCTACCGTATCGAGAGAGGAAAAAGAATCAGGGTAATGTATGAAATTACGTATGATACAAACAAATCAACAAGGGTAGCCTGTGACATACTGTACCAGATAATAAAATGAACAATAATGATAATAATGTGTTCAATGCAAATCTGAAATGACTTATAATTTATGTTTCCTCCTTCTTTTTCGTTATTTTACTGTTTTTGTAAACTTGATTTTATGTGAATTATGTACCAAAATTATGGTAATGTTGTATATTTTGTGAGGATTATTTTTAATAAACCATTTTTGTTTTTTTCATTTTTACTGTATTACATTACAAATATTTCGATTTTCAACTGAAAAAAATGACATTATAACTTAAATTCCAGAAACAAATAAATGAATGAATGAATAAATGAATGAATGAATTAATTAATTAATGAATAATTGAATAAATGAATGAATGAATGAATGAATGCATGCATAAATGAACGAATGAATGAATGAATGCATGCATGCATGAATGGATGGATCAATAAATGAACGAATGAATGAACGAATGAATGCATGAATAAATTAATGAATGAATGAATAATTGAATGAATGAATGCATGAATGAACGAATGAATGAATGAATAAAAGAAAGAAAATAAAGGATGTATTACCTTCAGCTTCGGGTAGCCCATAGCGGAGTTATCCTGTGAGGGGTCAAAAGTGGTATTGCCTTGCCTGAGGTAGGCCTGTCGTTTGTACCACATCAGCTCCAGGTTCTTGTAGTAGGGGTCGGTCTTGTTGACGAGCTGGAATCCAGTGACGTTCAATCCTCCGAAAAGAAAGTTATCCATGTTGACGTCAGCCAGATCCTGAACCCAGAGAAGCCAAGAGAGAGAGAGAGAGAGAGAGAGAGAGAGAGAGAGAGAGAGAGAGGAGAATGAGGAGAAGGCAGGGACGATGAGGAGAGGGAGACGGGATAAGTAAAAAGAAGAGATAGGGAAGGAATGGATGATCATAAAAAGGGGAAGAGAAAGAGAGAGAGAGAGAGAAGAGTGGTTTAGAGAAAAACAGGGGTATTTGGAAAGACGAGGATGGAGAGAAAAAAGAGAAAAGGAAACAAAGAAATAAAAAAGAAGAAATGAAGGGTGGATATATAGTGTGGGTGTTTAGAAGGAGAGGGAATGAGAAAGGTAGAGAGAGAGAGAGAGAGAGAGAGAGAGAGAGAGAGAGACGGGAAAGAGAGATATGGGAGAGGAAATCGTTACTTCGCTGCTTTCATATATTTTTTGTATCCTACGTGATTCTTCCGAGTGTAAAGTGAATACTTTCCGTAAGCGGCGTTTCCGTTTTATATTTTCCTTTTTAGGGGCTAATGCTATTTTCAGAATTACTCATTGATGTTATGATGGGGTTATGAATTATTTCCCCTGAACCCAAAAAAAGATAAACCATGACAGAAATCTGCTTTGTGAGCAAAGGTGTTTTTAACATCAGTACTGCACTCGCCATTCGATTTATTCTACATATACCTTTATAAAGATCCGAAGCATTTTGTTTAATTGTCAATGCCTAATCCCCTTCGGGTTTTTGAAATGCTTGATATACTCACCAGGTCGAGAAAGATATAATGGAATGATGACGTAATCATGCCGAGCACATTTGCCTGGAAGTGAAAGAAAATAATAGAGATAACAACAACAAAAAGAGGGAAAATACAAAAGCAAAAAACATGGACCTGTTATCTTTTGGGCTCAGGAATGACCTGTATTTAGTTCACAACTAAATTATTTATACATTTACAGAGGTTTGTAATTATTATTAGGTATGTGTAAAGTTGATTTTGTCTCGATTTTTATATTAAAGCTAACATCTAAAAGTAGTCAACAAGTTCACCTTTCGTTCTTGAGTTACGAAAGAAAGAAAAGAAGAAGAACAACAAAAAAAGAATTTACAAGGGTATAGTTGTTTACTGTATATACACTTTACCATATACGAAGAACATTGAGCCATTTAATCACCTTGTATAATATTAGACTCGTGTATATCATTGTTATGTCGTATTTGTTTGTAATAAATTTACCGTAATCGTTTGTCATCGCTCTTTGTGAATTGCAAATTGACAAAATAGAAACGTCCAAAATAAATAAAAGGCATCTACAAAGACATGTCATAGGCCATCTTTTGGCAACATACCTATTTTAAAGAGAACAGCACATTTTTTATTTACTTAATCTTTTTTTTTTTAAAGAAATTTCATTGTGCTGATAAAGAGAGCAACTCGAACATTTTTCGTAATTTACATTATGTCTCATGAGAGATGCTCCCATAAAGCATCACTGACGATATACAAATAATATATGTGCTCTATTTGATCTAAAAGCCGTTTAGATAAAATAGTTTTTAGATCAAATAGTTCCAAAGTGAAACCCCCAAAAAACAGTTCTAAACCTATTTATACATTTATATTCTCTGAATGAAAGTAACATTTCGAACAACTGTTCCTGCTTTAAGGTCCACTTGTCAACAAATGGCCAGACTCTATATTGGTCAAGGAATAACCTGTTTAAGAACGAGGACTGTGTCGTTGGCTGACGTATCGAAGATGATACGATGACGACCCGAATCCCGAAAGCTCTTCAGAAGCCTTCGGGTCTCGACTTCGGATCCGACCCGCCGAACCATGATGTCGTACTTCCTTGGAGGAAACTTTAGTGAAAGTGTCTGGTATCTCTGTAAACCTGACAAAGAACAAACAAACAAACAAACAAATACAACCAAGTAAATAAGTGCAACACACATTTAAATGGTTGAAAGTAGGGCTATAATCGAAACCTTGTAAGAACAAGTTGCCATTGACGGCAAAGTTTTATGCAACGGGGCCTAGGTCTCACATGACGACCCACAAACGTTTGATAATATATTCAAGTGTCATGCAAACTTCTAAAAAGTTGCACGTTGCCACCCAAAAGCTTGTACGACATTTGACTGACATGCATGGTAGCAACCAGTGCAAGGTTCATTTAACAATACAAACATAACAGGTGGGTACTTGGGGGAAATCTTTGGTTAGAATACATTGGTGACAAGGACCTCTTGCATTAAAAAAGAAATACACAAGTTGATTTTCACCCAATCAGGAGAACATATCGGACTTTGGTTTATGATATATTTTTTGAATTCAATATATATATTTATTTATTAATTTTTGTATTGTTATTTTATTTTGTATTGTTTTTATTTATCTATTTGTTCATTTCTACGTTTCGAGTTGCATTTAATTTTTTTTCTCGCAAAAGTGCTCTGGTCATTTCATATGAACTGAAAGGCATACCTTCAGCTGAACTGTAGACGTAAGCAAACTTTTCCCACTTGAAGTACTTGACACAGTCCTCTACGGGTGGGACCAGAGACGGCATCATGGACACCAGGTAGTCACTGGGACCGATGGTCAGTCCCATGTCCGACTTGGACTGGCTGACCGTCACGTAGGGGATGAGGAAATAGTTGGCGTAGGACTGGAAGGTCGGAAGGCAGACCTGTTTGGAATGACCTCCGGTGATGAGGGTGTTCTGGGCGTAGAGTGTGCAGACTAGGGATGGGATGGGATTAAAAGAAAAGAAATTAAGATTTGCGATGATCGATCACCTTCATGATAAACCTTAAGTTGACATTGCTCTAATCATTACTACTATCACGGCAATGTAGCATAGTCCCGGTCACACCGTTAGACCGACTCCACACCGACCCGTAATCGTCTGGTTCTTGCCCATTGGAGGCAATGTAACATTATGCTCGGTCAGGTGTCGGTCTCGTTGGTGTGACTACGGTATTACTTTACTACTACTACTAATACTACTACTACTAATACTACTACTATTACTACTACTACTACTACTACCACTACTACCACTACTACTTCTGCTACTACTACTACTACTACTACTACTACTACTACTACTACTACTACTACTACTACTACAATTATTTCTACTACTTATACTTATACTACTAATGCGACGACGACAACGACAACTACTATAGTATGATAAAGGCATTTGGTGAACAAGGCGGGGAGGAGGGAGAGTGTGCGAGATAAAGAGAGAAATAAACAATCAAGTTGATCCAATTTTAATTAATTGGGAATTCAAACGGCTCCAGAAAATCGTTCAAAACTGTAAATTCAGTGATTCTAATAAAATGTCTAAAAGTTCATTGCTTTATCATACTTGTTGTTATTTGATTTGTATGAAAGAAGTTTTTACAAAAATGATTGGTTCCAACAGATCAAGGAATACATTTTTATTCCATGATATCAATTCATTAATCAGCAATGGAACCCACACTTCTATGTTCATATCATTATCCAATGCAATCCATGTCTCAAACACTTCATCCTTGACTCTTCAGCGAAGACAGAATACACGTCATCACTATCATCCTACCCATGTGACCAACTGTCTTTCTATCCTCTTTAGTTATCTCTTATGCGCATGATTTATAGAAACCGTCACATTAAATTCGTCCCTTGGGGCGCTACAGTTCGGGGGTGTTATTAGATGATTTATAGTGAGGCACTCGCATCTTGTTCATTTGTTTTTCATTTAATTGTTCTACCTGGGGAGAGCGATGGTTGCGCGCCTCGTCGAATGACCAAAGTTGCGCCAACAACCACCCCTGACCTTTCTCAGGCTGTGTTGAGAAAACACAATGTCTTCCCAATATACATTAATTATTGTATTTTGACGTCATTTGCCCCTATAGAGCTTGAAGTTCATGGCTGTGTATTTTTTTTGTAATTCCAAACAGCCCCTTTTCTCTGTAAATCTAATAGTAAAAGCCCGATACGTGTAAAATTAATCGAAATTGTATAGAAATATTGAACTTAATCTCTATTTCACTATTGATTGTATTGCGGAATACACGAGTAGGCCTATAATTGAAAGGTTTATACATATAATCACAGAAAATACGTATATTTTTGGTTCGGCATCGTGGGTACATTTTGCGACTAGGGAAATGGTAGAAGACTTGCTTTGAAAACAATGTAAATGTCGAATATGAGATGATGGAAAAAATGGTAGAACAAGAAAATCATGAAGAAAAAAAAATAGAGGATGATTAGGGTAAATTTGATGTAGTATGGGTTTTTCTTTTTATTTTTCCATAAATGTACTTCTCCTTTCTATCATAACATACACGTCATACAAATGGATGATTAGTATTTAGTAAATACCCTCGCTTGCAGAATAAATTATTCTGATTGAAACATGCCATGGTAATCTTAAAGTTCATTATCCAAAGCAGGCCAGACGGGAACAAATCTATAATTTCTTTCTCTCGCTCGGCACCCTAAATAACCTCTAAATGCACGCGCAATGATAAATAAACAGAGCGAGATGAACCTGGCTCCAACACCCTTATGGCGTCACAATATCCTGAAATTACCACCCTTTAAAAATCATGACTTTTTCACATCTCAATCGCTCTTCGGCAGGGTGGTTGTTTTTATCGTTCGATGATCTGATGATGGTGATGATGATGATGATAATGGCGGCAGCGTATTATGGTTGTGGATCGCATTATCCATTTTTTTTTCTTTCTTACAAACGGGGTGCTCCGGATGGCGGGTCGGGTCGGGTAGCAAGGGAAATCAATATGGCCGAGATGAGGTATGGCGGTTATCAAATATTCACGAGATGTATCAAAGATTCATGCTCAGATTTGCATCTCCTCACTATGCCGAGGGACTCGGGGTGCATCTATCACATGGTTTGAAGACGATGGATAGGAAGAGAGGTTGTGATATACATAAGAGAGAGAGAGAGAGAGAGAGAGAGAGAGAGAGAGGGGGTGAGACATATAATATTAACACAGATAAACAAAGAGAGAGAGATAGAGAGACAGTTTTAAAGAAAAGAGAGTGAAAGAGAGAATAAGAGTGACAGAGACAGAGACATAGAGACAGAAAGAGAGAGTGAGAGAGACAGACAGTCAGGGAGAGAGACATACAGAGATAGAGAGAGAGAGAGAGGAGGAGGGGGAGGGGAGAAAAGATGACGATGAGGGAAAAAAAGGAGAGAAGGGAGTAGATGTGACATCATAAGACTCACTTTGTAAGAAGTAAGTAATTTCTTTAAAAGTCAAGAAAGGGGAAGGAGGTTTTGAAAAATATAGGGTAAGGTAAAGAAAATAAGTTGTAAGAAAGAGAATTGAGGTGATACGTATAGAGAGAACGGTAGAAATTTTAACAATTAAGTGGAAAATAAAAGATGAGATTTGAAGGAAAAAAAACCAAAATATGTGAAGATGGAAAGAGGAAGGACGAGCAAAAAGGGAAAAGGAAGAACGAGAGAAAAGAGAAAGAAAGAGAGTAAGAGTAGGAGAGAGAGGGAGAAAAAGAAAGAGAGAAAAAATGAGAGAAAAGAAGAGAGAGAAAGAGAGGTAGAGAGAAAGAGGGAGGGAAGAGATAGGAAATGTTAGGTGACAAAAAGGAGGGTTTGGATAAGTGAGAGAGAGGTACACAAAGGCTGGAGGAAAGTGTGTGTGTACATTTATTTGTGTATAAAAATACAACAGAGAGAGAGAGAGAGAGAGAGAGAGAGAGAAAGAGAGAGAAAGAGGGAGAGAGAGAAGAGAGAGAGATCAGAGAGAGAGAGATCAGAGAAAGAACATCTTCCAATGTTTGTTTTCGCTTTATCAATGTGCCTCTTTTTGCTCATCATGTTCCAAGCCTCTTATATGCGATTGATGTTGGCATCTATTTCTGGTGTAGTCTGCTCATTTTGCATCCAAAAATTTCTTGACTTAAAGGCATCGTTTAACAATGTTAAATCTGAGATGCACGGCCCTACGTGTTATCAGTGTCGGTTTATTATTGAAGCCCTACAAAAATTGCGCTTCAAAATGATCAAAAAAGTAAAAAGATTTGAGTGACCGGTTTTACCATACTTATTTTTTTCAATAGAATGTAGTGTTAAGAAAACCATTTGGAAAACGCAAAATTTGATTTTGATTTTCAATCATAAATATCTTGATAATCAGACAGGCGATCGGCTTGTAAAAGTCATTGCATCACTAGCTAAGTCTAGGATTTTGTTTCAGAATCTGAGACAATGTTACCCAATCCCTTTAACTGTTTGCAATCATTCAATGAACGATATACCCAATCCCAGTTTACCGCTTCGAGTTTGAAACTGGAACCCCGATATTAAGAGTACTAACTGGCGTAAGTGCATGGGAGACGCTTGAGAGCGGCAACCCTTCATATTGTTCACCCCCCCCCCTCCCCCACAAAAAATAACAAAAACAAAAATTAAAACAAAAAATCAATCAATCAATCGATCTAAACAAAAATAACGAAAACAACATGGAAATACTAGAAAAGAAAAGAAATATAAAGAAGAAAGGAAACAATAGGAAACAAAGAGGACAGAAGGCAAACGAAATTATAATTTATCTATTCCTACCACTTGTTAACTTTAATATCATTTTTGATATAGGATATCATCCATTTAGAATGTAAAATGAAGGAATCTGATCATACTCACGCCTTCTCGTGACATTGAAGGTATCCTCAAGGAGAGCCGGGTACACATAAGCCATGAACTGGAACGCACTCGTCTTGTTCTTCTGGGTGTTATGAGAGATTATTCCGCGCTCAAAGCCAAAGTCACGGATTCTGTCGAAGACACCACCTTCAATAAATATGATGAGAGAATATAATAGTAATATTGACTGCTATGAGAGACATAGTTGTTTTTATACGCTCAAGGGGAGGTTACATGCATGATCGTGCTATCGCCCCGCGAGGCGTGCCGAGGGGTGATAGCACAATCATGTATTTAAACCTCCCCGAGGGCCTATAAAAACAACTATGCCTCGAATATTAAAGCAGTCATTATAACTTTTATATACCGAAAAGGGTCATAGAATACATGTGCGACTTAATTCCAATCATGGTAATCAAGCTTGTTTACACTATCGAGACCTAGTCTTAATTATAATAGGGTGTCTGATCGCGCACCACTCGTATCGTATGGAGTTTGTGTGCTAAAATCCTTCCCATTGAGATTAATTGCACGCATATACGTAAAATGCCAAAACCGGTCATTTGTCTTTTGAAAAGTGCCCTAGGGCTTTTTCAAAAGACTATTGGCCGGTTTTGGCATTTTATGGGAATAGCTAAAATCACGACTGCATTTTCGACCAATCAAATTGGCTGGATTTTTAAGGTGAGGCACAAAATCATAATTTTTAATATTTTGTTAGTATTGTTACCGATGATAATAGGACAATGCCCATGATAAAGATGTCATCATAGTAACACAGATTCCCAGGTTCATCCTGGTAAAGGCGCAACGTGTCGATCCACATAATCTGCAGGACACAATTTGTATTATTGTCATTATCATAATTATTCTTCATTTTTTTTATTTGTATTGTTGTTGTTGTTGTTGTTATCATCATCATCATCATCATCATACTTATAATCATCTATATTATAATTGTCATCATCATCCTCTACATCATTAATAAATGTCATCATCATCTTCATCATCATCCTTATCATAATCATCATCATCATCATCATCATCACCATCATCATCATTGTCATTATCATCCTCATCATCATCATCTTTTTTTTATAGTTATAACTGATGTTGTCATAAGCCGGGTTTGTTCGCAAAAGTAGTTTATTGTTTATCCTAAAAGGTTATATTGACATGTGACTATGTGATTATAAAAGTGATTACTGAGATTATTAAGAAATATAACCATTCCACAAACAATCTTCATTTAAGAATAACTGTGACTTGATAAACAGTGGCGAAGCCGCTACTTAGATGTCTTTGTTATTCTTCTTTTTTCTGCAGACATGAATTTTCCTTTTAAAAACCATACAGTTTACTATGTGAGTGTTTCAGCATGTTTTTTTTTGTCTGTACAATTTGTACCATTTTCTCCCTGTTTGGTGAAAACACACAGGTATATATTTCAACAACTTTTTCGCGCATCACCGTTGGAATCATAAAAGCTAGCATGCTGAGCACGAAATACATTGGATTTATGACGATGGGCAATACATACAAACCTCGTAACCTAATTGGGCGCATAAAGCACACATGAATAGTACATTTACGGAATGAGTATGTAGCTATGGAAATATAGATCGACACACAAATGAACTAAATGTACGTTAACACCAGGGCTAGTCTATTGTAATTGTATAACAAGTGGTAATTTTATACAATAAGTGTACTGGTACAGATAGTAAAACAATATATCGTAAGTTACAAATTGATCGTAACAAATAGAACTATGTAGATAAAAAAAGCAATTGATTGTAAGGTGATCTTCTGATATTCTATTCGAATTTAGAAGACGGAAAATGGTTGGAGGAACTCAGTTTGTTTATTTTAGAAACTTGATCATAGTACGGTATGAACAAGCCATAACTGCCTGATTGTGTTTTTATGTGATGAGAATGAATAATTTAAATAATTCAAATGAATATTCTTTTATGTTACTTTAATATTACGTAACCATATTGTCAATATAAAAGAGTATAGGAATTGCGGTAGGGATGTTTGTTGTTGAAAGTATTTGCGATTGAGTGCATCTCTCTTTGAAGAAAGAAATGTATAAACTAAGCATAAACCACCATGGTGCTGCAATGCTTTTCCGTGTACACGGCATGACAGCTTGAGATTTTTTGTTTGATATATAATGAAGAATAATTGTCAAAGTTCCTATTAATCATTTTGGATAATGTGGGGCACGTATAAAAGCTAAGTCATACAATGTGGCATATAATACAGGACGCAGGTGCACAATAAAATAGATATGGTAAATCTAGTTCAACCGCTATATTAGTGTCAAAAGTTTACGGCACATCGGATATTTTCAAGGAATAAAAACAAATTATACCAGTGTGACTGTTGATCTATTTTCTAAATTACTACATTAATGATTATTTTTTATGAACAATAGGTAAAAGCCTAAGTTGTTGTTTTTATAAGGAATGGAGAAATCATGACTAAAACCGAGAAAATTTTGAGATTTTCTAACCAATTTTGGGAAATTTGATAAAGACCTACTCAAGTAAACAAGTTTTAGATCATGATGAATCTAAATGTAATATTACTACTCGAGAGGGGGGGGGGGGGGGGGGGGTTGATTCTTGGGCTGGGCATAACAAAAAAAAAACATCTTTTGTTCTCGTCAAATATTGTCAGACATTAAATACAACGTTTAGTGGTAATCATCATGACTATGCAATTAAATTGTAAAATAAATGTGTCAGTGTTAGAATATGGTTTAACTACGAAATAATAATGTATATCGCTATAAACTGTTTGAAAAAAGAAATCGGGAACGGCCTAATTCTAATTACCTCAAAGCACCGTACACAAAAATGTGTACATGGTACTACACGAACACCGGTGGCATGAACGTTCGTTTGAACACTATAGTTAAATATCTCTTGTCGTTATTACCCATATGAGGAAACTTGGATGGCCATCTCTTTCAGTTGACATCTCTACAAGCATTACCAAAAATATAAAGCTCACAACTCATGTTTAACTTTCCCATAACACAACTTTCATTTTATTATCATTGTCATTAATCATGCAAATAGTTTAAAGGGTCACTCTAACCCAACTAACATAGCCTTTTAAAACATGAATACACCTCTACTTATTAATATTCCAGCTTCTGATTTTTTCAGAAAATCTCTGTGTTGACCAAAAAATGATAATAACCATCCATTTTCACAGTTTTCACGCTTGCTGGGCTACGCCCCACGAAAAAAGGGTAATACGGTCACGTGGCCCTGATGACGCATTTGACGTCATTGCGGGCATGTCCGATTTGTCTTACAACTAAGTATCTTACAATATCATTGTAATTCATAAATAAAACGTACTGGAATAATCAAGTGCATATTATGTTTCGAATAAATGTCTTTTTTTCTCCAATTTATAACATAGTTTGCCTTTGTAAAGATGCCTAAATCACCCTCCTATTCACCGGAGAGGGTCCTGCAGTTCCGAAACTTTTTTTTCTTTTTCTGAGCGTTCTGATTCGTCATTTGTAATGCTAGATTCCAGAATTATTAATGACTTTTAAGGAAAATCATTGTCATGTTTGGAATCTCCGTCAAAAATTCGTCTACATGTCTCTCTCCCCCCCCCCCCCCCCCATTTTTTTAAAACCCGATTTGGTAAGAGTGGCCCCTTTAACGGCCTCCCCCTACCCCTTACTTGTGATTTCCAATAACATAAATCATTGGGCAATGCATTATCAAATTAACTCACATATCGTAAAATCTATGCTATGACTTTCCTTCAAATGTAAGCCTAACACTTACGAACTACCACGAATTTACTTAATACTGTTTTTAACGATTTTTACAAGGCATCTTTATTTTTAATTTTTAAATCAATTGCACATCTTTTTACAAGTTCCTAAATTTTACTACTGAACTTTGTGTGAAAGAAACGTGGCAAGCGCAGTCACACAAAGAAAGCAGCATTTACACTCACTCTCACTAGTTCAAGAATATTGTCCATGATATCCACGGAGAGTCGCCATTTTGATTGTAGGGGCCTTCTAAATTTGATGGTTGTTCCTACTGTAGTTTGTGCAAAGTAATGAAGTAAATAAAATAAACAATCTACATCTCATCACTGCTCAATAAATAATGCATTCAATCAACTATTTATTTTTATTAGAATGGATACTTACCAACAATGATGGTTGACGAACCGTTAGAATAAGTAGTCCACATTAGGATGGTCGCGCAGACGATCACCAAAGCTTGGAACATTTTTCCCGCCATTGTTGCTAGTCGGAAAAATCCACCCTCCGATTGTGAAAACTATCCCTACTTCGCGGCAACCAATTTGGTGTAATATCTTTGAGTTTGGCGACCTTATCCGACGTTTCGATCAACTCACTACTTCTGTCGACAAACTCGATTTTGAGCGAGCGTTCGATGAAAATCGTAGCAATTGATTTTCGCAGAAAAGACTTGCCTGCGCTTTGGAAAGTCAAACGGTGGAAAGTGATAATGTATTCAGACGTTAAATATCATCCGGTTCCCTTTAGGGCATAGGGTATCTACCGTGGAAGGAGAAGTTAGGAGGTATGAGAGGAGAAGACGAGATGATGGGTGGGTGCCAAATGAGCATCGTACGCAACGATGCGGAAAGCGTGGATGCCTCGTTCCGAAGCCGTGAGATGCATGCTTGCAACTCGGAGAACGTCCCGTGAGCACAAATCCCAACGGTGCCTGCCTGGTTCTCTATGTCATCAACAGAGAGAGAGAGAGAGAGAGAGAGAGGGAGAGAGAGAGAGAGAGAGAGAGAGAGAGGAAAAAAGAGAGAGAGAGAGAGAAAGAGAGAAATAAATAGAAAGTGGGAGAGTGTGGAGACACATAGAGCAAATGGAAAATAGAACTGTCCAAGAAAGAAAAAAGAGAGGGGAGGGGAGTGAGAGAGAGAAATAAGGAGAGAGATTGTAGAGAAAAGGGAAAATAAAATTGTCTGAGAAAGAGAGCGAAAGGAGAAAAGAAAGTAAGAAAGAGAGAGAGAGAGTGATCAGAGGGAAACGGAGTGCGCCATTTTATAGCCTCTCTCATTGGAATTTGCAAGGAACATTGCCTGTCATAAAATAATGACTAACTCATGCAATGTGTGGAAATTTAGAGCCCCTTCTAAATCTCTTGCAAATGAATGCGGTGCCTTTTTTTTTTTATCAGATTGACAATTTTCGGGTATTTATCATCATTAAAGGTAATACAAAGTTTTGGGAAATTTTGAAAATTGGGTGGATAGTGAATCTTTACAATTTTGATATATTTGGATGCCCCTGTGGATGTATTATAAGCACTAAAAAATTAACCCCTAAAACACTTTTTTTTTCGAGAAAAATTGAATATAAAAATTTACTGGTGCTCCCGGTAAATTTTGATAAATTTCAAATAGCGCCTACGGCCGTACAATGGTAGCTGCGACCACGAAAATCTCAGAATATGTAGTTGTGATACATAATTTCCAAACGGGAATAGCTCATCGGTTGTTTTTTGTCAAGAAACATTGTTTCATAGCTAAATTGATATCTTGACCTTGAGAGGGAGCTATACAACATAAAGAGTTTATTATTTATAATTTCATAACTTTAGACTCGATTTCAAACGGGACAACGACCAATGAATATTGTAGGAACGCATGTGCTTCCAATATGTTAATTTGAACCAAATTCATGACCCCATACCAAAACTTTGTAATACCTTTAAGCTTATTTATCGACGCGTTAATGTATCTCGTACGGCCACCATGTAATACCAAGCGGGGCCTCGTGACTTTTTTTGAAAATGAAAACACTAAATAATATATTAATCAAGAACTAAATGGATACAGTCGATTTTAAGACAGTGATGCGCAACTATCCTACAGGATGTATTTTTTTATTCAAATTTGTATTCCATATTCGTTTGAATTTTAATCCCTTGCATTCTATCCGTTATTTGGTTTTATTTTTTGTAAATAATAAATTGACGCTTAAACCTAATTAAAATAAGAAGGGCCAATACAAATATCAATCGAAATATCATACACGAATGGGCGAAATAAAGCGAAGGAGGGCATGAGGAATTAGCTCTTTGCAAAGACAACAAACTGTTCAACAAGAGACGAAGAAGGAGCATAATAGATAAACTAAACAGAGTAGTAATGGCACAATACAGAGAGAGACCCGGGAGGAAAGAAGCGCGCACTGACTGACGTAACAAAGGTGTGCTCACGACTCAGGGTCTCTCAACGACGTAACAATGTAAATGATTTAAGTACGCATGCGCACCTGCGCATCTCCCATGACAATGCGTACTGAATTGCCCATGGAGTAAGAAAGGTCGCAAACACTTCAAGAAAACAGAGTAGAGCAGGTATTGGGGCTAATCCATTAATAGATTAGTTTTGACCAAGAAAAGAAAATGAAGAATTAGGCCTTGATTGCTTTCAAGTTAATAATCTGAAAATGGGAAGTGGTCATGGAAAGGCGGGTCAACCCGTTGAGTTACAGGGAATACCAGAGGCATGGGGCAATGGGACGAACAAGAAGGAGGTGTCGAAGAAGACAACGTCGCCAAGTCCAGCGATGGAGAAAGTTATATCATTAGGGGCTGAGGACATCAAAATGTAGGCATATATTTCCTTTTTACGGAAATTCTAGCTTAAATAAATAGGCCGTACTTTACATTTTCACTTTCAAACATGATACTAAAATTGGTTCGTCACCTTCTTCCTTGTCGCTTATTCTCTTATTGTTATTACTTTTTGCTCTTCTATTTCTTTTTTTTTTCTTCAATTTTCGCTTTTCTTTTCTTTTCTTTATTATCATTCGTCTTCTCCTCACTCCTTCTTCTCGAAGTAATTATTTTTCTTCTTCTGATATTTCTCGTTATCAATTGTTCCTTCCTTATTCTTTGTTTTATTTATTGTCATTTTCATTTTCATCTCCTTCATTTCATTCATTTTAAGCCCTTTATTCTCCTTTTTCCCATTTTTTGTTTTACAGCGTGAAAATGTTTTCATTCTTTTTAATTTGTTAATTTAAGATCTTCGTTTGTTTTCATAATTTAGATTAGATATTCTGCTTGATTGCTTGTTTGTTTTTATTTTTCAATCTTTCCTAGAATTCGTTATGAATACGTCAACATTTAAAGTAATATACTGCCTTATTAGTAATAAATGCGGCTAAAGAATGGGGACGATGGAGGGAGCTAGGGAGGGATGGGCAGTGACCCCCATGTGCACTTTTAAAATATTGTTTCAGAACATTTGACCCACTATTCGCAACATGATATAATATTCCCTTTTAATCATGTTAGCATGTTCGCTTAAAGCCCATCTCGCCCCCCCTCCCCCCCCCCCATAATTAGAAATCTATTGGTGTTGCCATTAGTGCGGTGACTTGAGAATAATGTAAATTGCGTTGTTTGATGTTGATTGGTACAGTTTACGAGATGATCAAATATTAAAGAAAATCGAGTTCTAATGCACTGTGCCTCCCTCTTGCATTATGTCATTCTTTGCACGCATAAGTTACAAAATGTCACCTGCCACACAGGTGCCATAGCATAGGCCAAGGCTATCTCGAGTATTTGGTGGCTACAACAGCCTCAATGCGCAATGAAAATAAGTTTTTCAAACGGTAAGTTATGCTTAAATAAAATAAGAACATTCTTTATGAAATACCCAACAACAACAACAACAACAACAAAAAGGAGAAAATAAAGGCAAATGCCATCCACAACAGTATTCACACGAGCTCATGTTTCACTCATCAGGATCCTATCAGAGAAAAGCAATCGGGGTGTATTATAATACTTTTGTTTTCACCAAGACTTAAACGATTTCCCTTTCACTGCATTTACATATATACCAACCGTTTATTTAGTTTCCTGCATTTTAAAAGTTAATGCTGATATATGTAGTAATCATTAATATCAATATATTAATAAAATAACGTCATAATAATGTTTGCGAGTATTGATAGGGTTTGCAAAGCTATCGAGGGGCACAAGAAGGAGCACAGTATCTGTTTACATTTTACATACTTATTTTACTGCAATAAGCCTTGTCAGGTTTGATTCTGCTGGGGTGTGCTCCCGCATCCCCCCCCCCCCCCCCCCCCGATCCACTCTTCGATCCGCCTATAATATTTCTCATATGATATTTAGATGTTGATATTTTTCTCTTTCTCTCATCAGCGAATCTGTGGAAGAAGACGGGACAAAGGAGAATACTTTGCCAGAAATGAAAGAAAATGGGACCCTCAGGGATACCGGTCAAGCTAGTCATGCTAGTACTAGTAGTGCGAACACGATCGAGATATTAGGTGGCAACAAAACACCTGGTAAATACGTCTATCCGCTTTTTCTTAACCCCTCCTGTGCTTTGGGCGGCAAATTGTGCCTATATATTTAAAAAAAGAGTGAATTTTCACTCTATTTTCACTTTCTTGGGAGTGACGTCCGTGATCACTTGTTTAGGAGTGAAAATCGATTGATTTTAGAGTGCTCTCTAAGAAGAAAAGAGTGAATGTTCACTCTATTTTCACTACATTTTCACTCTCCAGAGGAGTGACGTCCGTGATCACTCGATTTTTTTTTAGAGAGTAAGTATTAGTGTTGTGAACAATGTGTTTGCATTGAAAAGAAATTCATTTTTCTTCTTGAAACAGAAACAGGTAGCTTCATTCTGAAGTGTATTGTCATTGAATATCTTTTATGCCCAATTTCACAATAAAACAAACATGAAATTCCAAATTCAAAAATATAATTCGTGACATATTTCTAAATACCTTGCGGCACAGATTGGATTTAAAAAATAAAAAATACCTATTTTAGCATTTTTTAATCTGATCCAATTGTCTTACCCCAAGCCAGCTTTACTTGGAGTATTTAATATTTGTATTATCATCTCTCATACATGATCACTATTTGTGGATGTTTCTACGACAAAAATCCCCCTAGGTGCATTTATTTATTTCAATATTTTTTCTACATTATATTTGGTTGTTTGCTTTTTGTTTTTGTTGATTTTTCTTTATATTTTAATTTCTTCTCCTTAATTTTCACTTTGCACTCTGATGCTTTTTATTTGAAGTTTGCTTTACAGAAGTATTTGACAAGTGCATTATGTTTACGATTGAATATTTCATTTTTAGAAAGACAAGGCTCTTCCATCAAAATTACGCTTCGCCGGCCTCTATCATGATTTGAACAAAAAACTTGTCCATTAGGGAAAATAAATAATTGTCTGAGAAAAAAAAGGAAAGAAAAGAAAAGAGTACAAAACACATCGGAAACGATTTACTTGGAAGGGCAGTGTCTTTCGTTAAGATGCAATTAAATGTTGCTACAGATCGTAAGCTGCTTACAGTGAAGATAATTTGTCTAATTTGAATTTTAAAAGTGATAATTATCGTTTAGTTCTTACAATGATATAATTTTTTTTTCTTCATTTCATTTCATTTCATTTCATTTATTTCCATTGACATTTCCATGTTAGTGAAGATCTTTGAAAGAATTCGCTTTATACTTTTCTCGGGGACTTTTTTCGTTTTCCCCTATTTTCCTTATGATTATGTTAGATTCATTTTGCGTTCGTAATCTAAATCATGATATTTTTTTTATTCCAAAATGATTGGTTTAATCTTTGATACACTGACGTCATATTAGTTTTAATTTTATCCATGGCCAATCCTTTTATTTCTAGCACTCTCTCCCTCTCTCTCTCTCTCTCTCTCTCTGTCTCTCTCTCTCTGTCTCTTATTTCTATTCAGATGACTATTATTTTAGCTAATAAAACTGTCACAATTAGCAAACGTCGGTGTTACCGCTGTCATAGATTAGTTAGTTTCATAAATCTTTTTCATATATACGTGTTTGATGCAATTTATAGTAGTCATGATTATCTGAGTAATAAGTCCATGTTGTAACTAACATGTCTTTCTTCACTTTGACGAGTTTCAACCGACTTCCTCTTTGTAAGACAATTGTTCCCGAGTTCCCTGACCCACAAAGGGCTAACAATTATTAAATTCCAGACAGTAAGATGAACGAGGAAGCCGAACATGTCACGTTTATTATTTAATTCCTCATCATGTCACCAATTACTTATTCATAATTGTAATCAATCTTTTCTTCTTCTTCTACTCCGTACATCGCCACGATCTCCTCCTTTCTCATCGTTCTTTTCCTTTTTCTTCTCCAGCCGAACCCGTAGTTGATGTATCTATCACGAGTCGACGTCCGATGAGGACTAGGAGTGGTTCCCCAAGGCCCAAGTCCGACGGCAACACCAGGTCCTGGAACGCTGGGTCACTGGATGCTGAAGAGGGGTCTAGTCATATGTCGGTGACCTCCTATAACTTGACGCAGACCATCCGCAGCAGTTGTCGATCCTCTAAGTGCCTTCTGGATTACTCCGATCTGATGTTCAAAGAAATTGTGAGAAGTTTGGCTGGTAGATTTGTATACAGTGAAACCTGTCTATAAAGACTACCCATTCGCCGGAGACAAGAAAAGTGGTCATTATAGGCAGGTGGTCTTTGTAGACAGGTTCCTTTAGTGTATGTTTCAATGAGAAACCAATTTCAAGGGAAACGAAAATGTGGTCTTTTTAGACAGGTAGTCACTATAGCAGGTTTGACTGTATATGGGTTAGTTTAGTTTTCAAAACATCTCTGGCAATCCCAACTCATTCTTCAATTAGATGTGAGCTAGATGATAAAATTGATCCCGAACCCATTGCAATCTCTGAAAAGCGCTCGGAATGGTCAGGTGGAACCCTTAAATCATACTTACAACAAGTTGAACGTGTTTAAAGAAAATGTTGAGTTATTGGCATGCGATTAAATTGTTTTGGTTTTGTAGCATGCTTTATTGCATTCATTCAGTACAAATTTTAAAAAGCATACATCTTCATTGACATACTTAACATTTCAAAATGTAAAGAAAACTATGAAAGAAACGGTGTGGAATCGACCAGAAAAGGGTGATCATGTAGCATAAAGTATTGGTGTGTACTGCAAGGTTCTGGAGTCATCAAAACGATTTTTAAAAAAACGGCCCAGTCTTGGTAAAGTAACAATAACTGTACGCAGAAAGATATATATGGGACTACAAAAATATTTTGTATCAAAATCGGGCCTCATTTTAAAGCTGTTACTTGTCATATTTAGAATATGAAGGCATTTGAAGAGCCATGCTTTTCAGGGAACATTTTGTCTCTGATGTTCCTCCACATTTGCACAATAACAATGATAACGCTCACAAATTAGTTTTCACTACTCCTCGGAAGTCTCCATGAGTTGCGCAGAACTGTTCACTAAAAATACAAACTTTTTTCCTTAAAAAGCCTACCTTCACAAATATTAATACAACTGCTCTATACCCTTTCTTTATCTCTTTTCTCATCAAAGGATTGCTTTTGTATTATTGATGTAATAGTACATTATGTCTTTTATCGTAATATCATTTTGTTACGTGGATTTGATACATCATTTATTTTAATGTGCTTTTTTCATTACATCCCTCTCTCTCTCTCTCTCTCTCTCTTTCTCTCTCACTTCCTCTCGATCTATTTTACTCATCCACAGTTAAAGAAGTTAGAGCTGATGCACACAAACACTCGCTTGCGCTTTTCGAATGATTTCGAGAGAGTGGAACAGAGGAATCAACAACAATTCACAGATATTACGCATGAACTCAAAAAACTGAAGCAGGCTGTGGAAAGACTAGAAATCCAGCAACGAAACGAGCGGCCATTCCAGAATAAATTCTCTCCGCCATTGCCATCAGAGAGTGTATTGCAAGATGATGAATCACGTGAGTGGTTACGTGCCACTACAAAGCTGGTATGTCGCGCATCTTCGCAATATGCGCCCGCGCCGATTACAAAGCCATCGCGGCTACCGGTGCCGGTTCGCGTCGAAAGCCGGACCTTCGATCGTGCGAAACCGGAAACTGTCGGCTATATCGGAGATCCACCTGAACAACAGTCACTACAACAACAACAAGAAGAAGCTGCACGCCGGATATGGAACAGGGCGTTTTTGAAGGAGCAGCACCGCGCAAATGCACGAGCTATTAAAACGCAGCAAAGGAAACAACCAAATAAAGCTAAAGAGAAGCAAATCAACATACAGGAACATAAAAAGGGACCCAAGCTAGCGCGATTCCGTTTTTAATGATTAAATGGTCATCAAATTACCTTTTCTCGTAATCAGATCGCAAAAAGATGCATGCTGCACCAACATCGTTATCAAAATAACCAATAAGCTGGAACTGAGATGATAACAATATTTCTCAAATTTGACCAATCAATAAAACACTGGCGTGTAATGAGAAGTTTTTTGTTGTGTGACTTATCTTTTCAGTATTTTCAATCTGTACAGCTAAAATATTTTCTTCAAATATTTTTTAATAATAATTTTCAAAAAAAATAAACAAAATGTGTGTACTTCTTTCTGAATGTTGCCGGGTCGAAAAAGAATTGTACACGTGACACGAGCGCAACTACTTTAAATAACTGGAAAAAAAAATCATTTTAAGGCGATTTCAGTAGCCTCGTGCGTCATCAATTGAAAAGTGCGAACAGGACAATGACGTATAACGTTATCCGAAAATGATTTTTACGGGACATACAATAGGGTACTGAAATTGCCTATAAGTTGATTTGTTTATAAAAACAAATGCGATCGTGTTTTATCTGACTTAACATTCAGTAGGGATTTCAGTATTCAGAGTTTCGGATATATATTGCAAGGTAAGGCAAAAAGAGGGAAGAACATTATATTCTCAACGAAAGGTTAATGATTGGGGCCCTGTTGCATAAGACTTACCATTGATGGTAACTTTGCCATTAATGGCGATTACCATGGTAATAGGGCTCAACAGCCAATCAAAATCAAGGTTTTCATGGTAGTTATCACTGATGGCAAAGTTACCATCCATGGTAAGTTTTGTGCAACGGGCCCCAGATTTGTACCATCTATTTTCTCCCAAAGGAAAAAAGAAAACATGTTTAACATAATCGAAACTATTTTCGACAAATCAATTAAAGGGTAATATCATTACCTTAATGTGTATCCCAAAGAAATCATGTTTAGATTACGTAGTACGTCATTGTCATGTTCGTAGATTTCAATAGGTGACGCACAGAGGTATTGAAATTGCCTTGCCTGTGTTGATTTTGCGAAAGTACAGTAGTTGCTATCGTGTTATTTATTGACTTAAGTATCAAAATAATGACTGACTTCAATATCGAAAGCTATCACTCGATTGCCTGGCTTAATGGGGCCAAACGGCTATAAGAACTGACATTAAACCATCAACTCCGCGGGAAGACCCAGCGAAGCTGATCTAAGTTTTCAATTCATTCAGGCAATCAAAAGATAGGTTTTTTAATTTTATTTAACCAATTTCTATTCATATTGGGAGTCAGCAATACACTTTTAACAAACAAGAGCATATAGATTCTCCCGATATAATCGGATTTCAAGAAAGAAATTGATTGCAAAAATTAGGTTATTACTCTTGGTATAAGCCTAAGTTTAAGCATTTGGTTACCAACCTTTTTTATTTCAATTATTTTGTCTTCTGCATTTCATGTTACAAAATTCATTTTATATGCAAAGTATTAGTTGTTGATGAATTTTCTACACGTCTAATAGCTTCGCCCTCTTGAAAATAAAATTGTATTCCGATCAGCAGTCTTCGCTAGAACATTCAAGGATTATTTTTGAAAATGTCGGTGTACGATTCCTTTAAATTCCAAATGACGATTCACGGCGATACTCCCCGGTTGCGTCATTAATGTTGCATGAAGATTGCACTTCGCTGAACCAAGGCAATAACCGCAGGTTTCGTTGACAACGAACAGAGACATTAAAAGAACTGTGCGATATCAGCGAAACCCGTGGATAATATGCCTTCTGTGATGTCATGACCTGGATGAACACGTGACTCCATCTTCTAGTCTTTGTACGGGCAGCGCAGCATCATAAAAAATGTATACATAATTCCTCACACACGCTCTGGCCCGAATTCACAAAGGAAGTTTGTCGACAAACCTTGGTTTTCGTACGTCATATGACGCGTTTTTTTACAAACCTGGTTTGTAAAGAACAAAAGGAGGTTTGGCGAAACAAAAGGAGGTTTGTCGACAAACCTCCTTTGTGAATTCGGGCCTCTATGTCTCTCTGTCTGTTTGTCTCTCTCTCTCTCTCTTTCTGTCCCCCTCTCTCTGTCTCTCTCTGTCTCCCTCTGCCTGTCTCTCTCTCTCTCTCTCTCTCTCTCTCTCTCTCTCTCTCCTAGGCCTTCTTTCCTCTGTTATCACGCTCTGCAACTAATACCTCCTCCCCCCCCCCCCCATCTATCGTTCCCTAATAATAGTGAGGGCGGTATTGATAATTTGCGTGGCGAAATATTCACTATAAGCTGAGTAATAATTACGTCTTTTGAAGTCTGTAATTCTACCTATATTTTAACAAAGAAATTGTGATATAACTCATATTTTCACCATTTCGACATCTTAAAAATGAATATTAATACAATTATGACTGGAGTTTAAATGTAAAATATCAAGGTATTTAGGACTCGAAGTTTGAAAATCAATTAAAATATCCCAAGTCGGGAATGTTGTACATGAAAATCACTATAGGCCTATATTTGGCGATATTGCATATGAAATATGTGGATATGTATCATTCCGTGACTAAAAAAAGTTGTTTGAAATGTACAATGCATGGGTAAAATTTTTGCTTCAGTATTTGGTAAATTGGAATGCTATACAACCAAAATAGTCTGCATCGATTCTTATGCAATACCTGCCGCCTGCATGGTCTAAAACATATTATAATAAAACTTTATCAAACAAGAAGTACATTAGATTCAAATACAGTTTAAATATAGAATTTTTAAAAAAAGTTGATTTTTATTTTATTAAAACAAGAATAAGAGCATGTGGTTTAAATCTAATGCTGATTGAAAAAAGCGACCAATCTTGATTGAGAATGGCCTTACACTGCATAAATAACGGTGTACACTGCCTCTTATAAAAACACCTTTATCGTAATCTATTAAACGGTTGAAACCTCAAAAGAGGAAAGTTTGCTCCTGAATCATCTTCTTGTTTTAACATTTGTCAAAAACGTTGAATAAATAATACATTTTCAGAGTATATGGATAAACATACGTATTTGAATCGACCAAATTCAATTCGATTTAATTCATTAAATTACATTTAATTACAGTTCAGTTCGTTTCCATTCAATTTACTTGATCTTGATTCGAAACATACATGGCATACGAGTATTACACTACCATGTCCCTTATTTCTGACAGAACAAGACTCAAATCTTTGGTTAACGTTATATGTACTAGGTATTGGTTAAGCAGCTTACCTCGTTTGGGTTCCCGTTCATATTGCGCTGCCAAAGACATCCAACTGCCTATGAAGATATCGGACATCCCACGCAAGACACGAACAGAAGATTCGACCATGAAACTGTTCCTACATGATTCGAGGGATACCAAAGCATACCAAGGCATGGATACGATGGGCAAGATGTCGCCAAGATGTCGGCGTTCTGTAAAGGAATATCCAAGTCATCTATTCGGCTCCCTGGTTTCAGTGCTGGCCGAGTGGCAAATAGGAAATACTATCCAACGGCCCTGTCTCCGTTTCTCAACTTACTTGACGATGACTGAGAAATCTCACAAAGATAGAGCGCATTTATACTTTCCAACGTGAGAAATCCAAATAAAATCCCTCCGTTCATATCAATCAGAACGGGCTATTTGGAAATAATTACCACGAAGATGTGGGGTGATGAAAAAAGGTGACAATTGGAAACAAAAGTTGACGGTTCAAGCAAAACCTTGTCATATTAATAATGCAACAATTCCTTCGTATCTGAAATGCGTTATGTTAAAAACAATTAAATGGAGGCTCAAAATAGGATAAAGACACATTTTGTATTGAAGAAGAGACCAAAATAATGGCGTTGCAACGGCTCTCTGTCCAGCCATGCGCATAATACTGGCCGCATGTAGATTTCTCACGCATCACTCATCCAGAATAAAAACCCGTAATGATGCGACTAATTAGATAACAATATATACATCGCAATTGATATCGAACTTTAATATGAGGAATGCAAGAGACAAGGTAGAGAGAGAGAGAGAGAGAGAGAGAGAGAAGCAGGTTGGAAGATATCTATATCTCCTTTGTCTCATTTTAGCAGTCCATCCGACTTGAATTAATTATCCTTCTTTCTTTTTCTCATCCTACACTCAAGGTCTATAGATATTCGATAATAAGCTGCCGTTCTTTCTGACGAAAAACGGACTCTGGGGCTAATTAAAATGCGGAGCGCGGTATTAGCATCCGCTGTTGTTTATTCTAACCATCAATCTAAACAAACGAAATGCATGGCTCATTACGAGATGTGATACCATGCACGGCGCGGAAAAGTGCCGTGACGAATAGACAATGCTAATCTAAATAGACAACCGTTTGTGTGTCAGACGCTGGACTATTGATATTGGATGACAATTCTTTTATATCAAAGCTATTTGGTCTACTACAGTGTACTAGTAATGTGTTATGAAATAGTAGTGTCTCCAAGTTAAATTGAAAAGTAACTATTGTGTGGAATTGTATAAAGAAATTTAAATAAAACTGAATTTTGTAATATATCATTGATATAGACCTAGATTAAATATTATTTTATCAGAAATATGCTATAGAAACGACAATTTGGAAAACTGTTTTTCACATTTGTTACGGGATTTATTAGGAAAAGGGAGAAAAGTATGGGTTCCTCTTACCTAGTTCATTATTATCTGTCTCATCATTGTCTTGTGTTTCTGCCATTCCATATCCAGCCTTTTTTTTGGGGGGGGGGGGTGGAGTTCTCACAAAGTTTCGAATGTGTAGCTTAACATTAACCATTATTTTTTTCGTAATATTTTAGCGAACATCCTTTGAAATATCACGATCGCACATTCAGTTAAATATTGTCATCGCGATGTTAATTTGTATAAGTGAATTTGTTATCAAATGTCAGAAAGACTTCAGGAGAGAATCCAGGGGAGTGGACAGTAAAGACTTCGCGCTCGCAATTTCGTACATTTCAAGTCCCCCCACCCCTCCCTTCCCATGGGAAAATTCCGGATCCGCCCCTGCAGTTTAATTTTCAATGAGAAAACAATAGTATAATTATAAATAGTAACGAAGACTTCGAAGGAAAAAAATGCGTAGTGTGATAATATGAATACAATTGTTTAAATTATATAGAAATATAATTATAAGTTACACTGTGTTACAGTAGGTTAACTCACTTTAAGCAAATATAACAATAACATGATATTGATCCGACTAACCTTTCTAAATCGCCCTCCACTCACTGCCTATACTATGTGTGGTCATCTATTTATATATTTATTTATTATTCACATTTATCATAAAGATTATTTGTGTTCTGTCTCTAACTACCCATAATATATATTTAATAGAACTTTGTTCGTAATGTCTATGGAACGGGGTGTGTTTCCTTTACAAAGATATTGAGGTTAGCATTGTCTTGCTTTCGTTTCTCAGTAAGACGCTGCCTTCCTAAAAATAAATATTAAAACATCAGCCAATATAGCCAAACGATACCCACGTGTGATTGTTATGGCTATGCTTGATACTGTTTTGAACCTGTTTTGAGATGTGTTGCAATCAATCCTCTGTAGTTTTCTTTTGCAGCCGACGCCCTCTATCAACAAAGATGCAAGCGGGCTTGTCACTCACTGCTATGTGTACCGTGTGAGCCAAACAAAAGTTTACACCTAGAAAATTGTTAATTATTTTTTAAATCCTCTATGAACTGTAAATTATTATACATCATATGAAAGAGTGTGTTATCCCAGATCATTCGGTATCACTTTTGTGTTGTATGTGTTCACGCTTGGATGAACAGGTGGCATTGTTTGCGAGAGTGCAAAAATCGACTTGCGCCAAAGTTGCTTATGTATAGGCAACCCTCATCTTAATGGTCATTCTTTGTTCCTTATGTTACTAAATCATGAAACTAAAATGATAATAATTCCTGAGACTATTTTTTTTCCTGGATATTAATTTGGTCTGACCCCAGGTATAATAAGACTCTTAACACTCTTAACATTATAACTAGCTTTAAAACAAATCTTTGTAACGTATGTTACAAAATACATTAAACCTACCCATGTAATGTACGATGTACGTGTAGATCTATTTTGTATGATGTCGTGCACTAGGTCATATGCAGTGCTCACATTTAACATTTAAATGTCATATTCGATACCATTATCATCCCGTTAAAAAGAACGTTTACATGATGGAATCTGACCAACATATTCTGGAAATTATCATGTCTGCAACTGATTTTATGGTGCAACTAGTGTATACTGCATGCATATTTCCATTTGATTTATTCACAACTTGTGACACATTTTTTTGTGGGGGGATAGAGTTGATTGGCTTTGATAAAATTCACGTAGGAACAATAAACAAATGAAAATATTACCAAGCGAAGCAGGCGATTCCTTGCAGACTTCAGTAGTAATATCAAGAATGGTACATGTAAAAGAAGAACAAAACAAAAAACATACATCATTCCATCTCCACCCAAACGTGAATACTTATAAGAAGGAGACTCGATGAGATTTTGTTTTATTATCAACAAGAGACTGATAAAATGGAATTAATTTCTGTTCTACTAGATACAGAAATAAGAATTAGCAGCAATGCATGAGAACCGAAGTTAATCGACCGACATGTTGGTTGATACGAACAGGTGACGATGCTTTTTATCGGACGTTAACTGGCGGCACCGTGTGTAGGAGATCCACACCCTACGTACGCCAATACAATTATCGGGGTAGACTGTATAGCCATTTG